ATCCTACCATCCTACAATTTTGATTGCCCAGCCAGCGCTTTGAGAAGTCCTTCCAACATGCAAAGTGCTATATAAATGCAAATTGTGATTGTCAATGGGCCAAAGAGTTTTCTTCATTCAAACCTCTAATGACCTTCTGAATATTTAGCTTGTTTAGAATTTCCATGTGTAGGTGGGATGTGTGGAATTCTCCTTTCTGTTTGGATACTCTAAAGCATGGCGATGGGTTTCCGCCTGTGTGAGACACACGACTAACCATAGCAAAATAGCTCGATCAATTTTAACCACGTCAAACAGTTAAGATTGCCCCGGGTTCTAAACAAAAATACTGAACCGTAAAAAGAATCAGCTCTTGACATAAGACCGGCAAAAACAATTCCACTTTTTTGTAAATGGAATGTTCTTGCAATTTTGCTCACGACAATTTACTTTCAAAAGTTCCATAACTGGAGCTCAGGTCAGCATTCCAAAGAGATTTTCTAGCTGCTTTTAATCTTTTTAAATCAAACCTTCAATTCATTATTTTTATGAAAGAAAACTTTTTGCAGCACATACAGTATTTGGCTTTTGGGAGATCTCGTATCATCAGGTTCTCATGAAGAGATAATTTCTAGTTTTTAGTGGAGGATTGGATGTGAAAAAAATCAAGTCTATCTAAGCTGCTTCATGGTAAAAAATAGAAAACAAGATATAAATAATGTGAATTCAGTATAAAATGGTTTCCTTATCAATAACAAATTTTCTATGTCGAGCCAGTATTAACCTACAAAGGTCTGACCTAACTTTTCCCTTCTGCTATTAAGTAGTGGGGAACCTTCTCACAAAGAAAGAATTGGAAGTGGTGTTCCATCGGGATCTGTTTGGGTGGAACAGCCCGTTTCTGTGCTGTATCATTCTATGTAATTTTATGTAACGCAACTTAATGTGCTGAACTACATTGTAACTGCAACAGTGCTTGTGCAATGATGTTTCAAATTCTCATAGAAATAAAACCACTTCTTAAAAAACAAGAAAGAGTAGAGTGAACAAAGCAAACCCTGAAGGCAAACAGAAAACCATAATCTTCAGTTAGAGGTTCCCCTCCTGACAGATGAACTTGCAAATGAAACATTTTGACACCTCCTTCTTCTTAAATGAAATTTCTCACACCCAACATTGAACAAAAGCCGATAGCTCATAAAAGGAATGCTATCCTCAAGATTGACACACCAGGAGGGCACAAATTACATTGTTCACCAAAATCCATGGTTACAAAGGGGACATTGACTGCTTGACAAAGCACAGCATATAAACTCTAGGTCAAAGATTGGCTCCTTGCTAATCTGTCAGCTGTCAAGAAACATGTGGTAATCGAATACATACAGTCAATAATCAATTTATTTTCACCATACAAACTTGTCAAGTTTGTTTAAATGCAAGTCTAAATTGAAAATTGTTATCAAAGCCTGTACGAGAGAATCAATTGAAGCTAATGTAAACTGCAATCAACACTAATGTGCATTTGTCACATAAATACAACTGATCACACAAGCAGGATACATATTGTTCATATAATTATAATATTCAATATGGAAATAATTTGGAGGGTACAACAATTTCCCTCATGATTATCCAGTCAAAGATAAAGGTGCAATACCCATGGACAGATCTGTTGATGGCCTTTCACACTTAGCCAATGAGAAAGTATTGTGGCTCTGGTGGTCTAACCTTTCATTTAAAATAATGAAAATGAACACCTAAAACAATTTTTCCCTGAATTAAAACACTGCAGACAACTATGGGAAGATGACTATTTTGCTAGTTAAATCCCACAAATAACTTTTGCACCCTGTAGTATTCCTAGAATTTACAAGAAAGTCGTGCAAAGCAGTCAGAGTAATGAAGAGATCTCCAAGTTCATACTGTTGATTACAAAGGGCAATTATGGCCAAGAACTATGATAAATAAATGAGTTAGTGAAAGTGACTTGCTCTGTCAAAGAGTCGGCACAGACTCGATGGGCCAAATGGCCTCCTTCTGTGCTGTAACATTCTATGAATCTATGAAAAAAAATGCAGTTATGGCAAACTAGAATAAACGACAATCATCTCTGATATTGAAAGCAGCCACCTACGTATTACTAGTTAAACAAACCTAATTATGAGAATTCTCTGGGAAGATTCCTTTGCAATTGATCTCATACATCCAAGCAGGCCAAAATTTGTTAGCTAATGCACAGCAAACATATTTTGTGGGGGTGATTTTGCAACAAAGCGAAAAATCAGCCTCACATTTTTAATTAACATGTTATTCTCATTGTAAAGCTCTAAGCTATATATATGGGGGGTTCTTAAAAAAATGCTGCATTTGCAAACCTGCTGGGCTAATTGTGAATTCTGATATGTAGCTGCAATTGCAGGATTCACTGAAAAAAACATGAACCAAACATAGCAGTTTTACGGCTAGCATTTCATTTTCCAATGTGTTTTAATCAGCCAAAAAAAGCATAAAAACATGCCAGCCGTGATCACAAACCAGAATTCACAATCAGCATACTGACATCTTCATGAAACCTGCATTTTAGACCATGTGGTTAATTTTTATATTCCTGCTGCAGAGCAGAGCAAGTCACTTTCACAATTCTTATCCTTTCACCTTAAGGTGTACTCTATAATTTGTTTGGAGTATGTGACTCATTAAACAATAAAAAATGCTTAGCTCCTGAGGGCTGTGTTGCAACGAGTGCACAGAATACTTTGATTTCATGGGTACAAAACAATAGTAACAGATTTGAAATAATACCTTTTTAAGGTCATTTATCTACATGATAACATGCCCTACACATTAAGGCAACTCATGTCAGGAAGCATTTTGACATAACAAGGTCAACTTGTTTTGTCTGAGGGTCAGCTATAAATGCAAACAAAATCACGGTCAGAACAGCAAAATGTATTCATCAAAATCCACAAAATATCTTAGCTTTCAATTAATTAAATGAAAACGTTGAGTCCTGAGGCAAAACCTCTCCCTTTCCCATTGTTTTAAATCAGAGTACAAATGCAACTGTAATCTTCATTGAAATGCAATGAATAACACTGCTCGTTTATTTATGAAAATACAACCATTATTTTTTAAATGGTTTGTTAGTCTGAAAATGGAAGAAAATAATGTCGTTCTGTACACCATCGAGACTGCTAATAAAAGATACAGTCTTCCCCCAACCTTTTCTGAAGACAATGATTGACGCTGGGGTACAATGCCACAGCTCACTGTCAATCACTGAGGTCGCACTAAGCGGTAATTCTTTTTGTAGGCACCTAGATAGACTTTGTTGGCAGGCTACCCGACTTTAGCAGGCATCGCAGCTGTGCATGATCCCATCTTCATTTAACACCACACATATTTTTTTCTGTTGGAAAAGACCTGGGTAGCAATCAGGAGCGGGAACTCCAGTAGAAAATATCTTTCCTGAGTTCAAGAGCACTGAGAAAACATGCAGTGACCCTGTTAACCCAGCTAAGATCAGCAAGCTCAGCAGATAGTGGAGACATAATTTGGAACTACCCACTAAATAGTAACTTTGCCAACTATGCCACACAAGAGTCAAATACACAATGCTTCCAAAATGTTTAAGATTCTTGCTGAAGTTTTAACAATACAGGTTTGACCTTTTTAAAATGTAAATTGAAACATCCTTGGCAGTCCTTTATACGCAATTCTTATTTCCTCTTTCTTAGGGATGAGGTGCTCAGTGCATGGGGCAGGCGGTGGGGGCAGAGGAGAGTGACTAGTTTACTGAATTTTGATTGAGGAAAATAAGTATGCATTCCACTGATGTAAACACTGAATGGGATCATCTCGATAATATAATGATATTATATATTTGTGGGATAATATGAACAATGTAAAAGCTCAAATCACAAATTAGATTTTCTAGTGCATGTAAAAGTGTAGAGGACCATTTTCTTTTAAATAGATAAATAAATAATAACATTTCGGTCACTCAATCCACGACTGTTTGTGCGACACCGCTGTGGCAATTGTCTTCCGCCTTTCGCCCACAAAATACATAAGTCACTCAATTTTACAGTATATTTTGTGAAGCGCTTTGAAGCATCTCAACGATGTGAAAAGGCTCTATAAAGGATTATTTATTATTAATATTTTGCAAAATTAAACTAGCTAAAACAAAATTACAGTCGAACACCCATCTCAATCATGATCTCACAAGGCCACTATCCAATGTCCCCTCCTTCTCCCTCCTTCTCCTACAATTATCTTAAATTCCTGTTCTTCGACCTCAATTTGTCTCGACCACTGTGTGGGAGCCATCCGAAGGATCCAAAAAAAAGTCAGCACAATGCGTATGCATAAATATTGTGTACACGATCACATGCATGTGGCCCATGCACCTGATTTTGTTTTTCTAAAATGTGTTTCTTTAAACTCATCAGTTGACCCCTGAGAAACCACAAGAGTAAGCAAACTGCTGCATGAGTGTAGGCTGGCTGCAGAAGGGGGAGGGGGATAGTCAGTGGTGGCACAGACTATATTTTACTTGTCTGCTCTACAAACCATACAAAAAAACAGATGGTTTTCAGAACCACCAAGAATAGGATGTCAGATGGGAAAGTAAATCTAAAGTCATATTAAATATTAGATGGCATCCATCCAGTTTTCGTAATGTCTCAATGGTAATTTGTAGTGCTTGAATTAAATCAGTCTGTGGCATATGATACCACAAAAAACTGGGCAGTAGATGCAAAACAAATATTTTGTAAAATTTTAATTGTGAATAAAAGCAGCAGCAAATTCGAAGCTGATTTTCGTTAGGATGTCTTACACATTCTTCTTGCATGGAAAGTTTGACAAGACCTTTGAAGGATACTAGAATGTAGGTTCCAATGGCTAATTAATTCCTCAAAGTGCAAAGCAAATATAATGTGATTATTTTTATTATTTTTTAAATTCTGTTCCGAGATTTTCATTTTCGACATCCGGATATTTGTTCTATTACATACCTTTGCTTGCGCTTTCTACATGGCTAAGTTCATCTGTGAATTTCAAAATCTCTGGATATTTCTCTTCAGTGATGTCTGCTAAAAAATGCATCAAAGTTGATTTCTGATCTGTTGACTTGGTGTCTTTCAGCTGCATAACAAAATGTTAAAATGCTTAGTAAGCAGTAAGAAAGATCTAACCACTGTTTCAAAAAATTGTACATGAAAAATGCCAAATTTCATTGTGATTATACATTTTTACTTTAATTGTGTGCACTTGTCCAGACCCCTCACAATTCCTTGTGTACCTCCATCATATCCAGGAAGAAAAGCTGGTAAAATGATGCTTGAGCCAATCACAAACACCCAAGTACGAGTCCATATTAATGCTAAGATACAGTCTTTACGGAAACTTACCTATTTTGAATGCCAACTTAGTCACTTGAGCAGTTTGTAGACTGCTCTTTCATAACCAATATATTCTCTTTGTTCACTTTTGAACCTCCTCTGCCTGCTTTCTGTTGCATTCTGATTTCACTTCATGCCAAGTGTCTTCTGGGCCAAATTTAGTTTCCTAACTTCTTCTCCTAAGTGCTGTCTTAGTGATTCAAACATCTACAAACCAATCTAAACAGATGCCTGGCATTACATGCACAGGGCTCTGAGTCATTAACCTACATGAAGGGTGAACCTACATACATGAATCTACATAATGCTATATAAATGCAAGATGTTGTCACTTTGGCACCATCTTCAATATTCTTTTGTCTTTTTTGACTGAAATATATCCAAATAAAAATGCACTTAGAGATTTTTAAAAATAATAATAATTAATAAACTCTGACAAATCTCCAGGATCTGATGGATTCCACCTCAGGGTATTAAATGGAGTAGGGGAGGGAATTACAGATGCGTTAACCATAATTTTCCAAAGCTCTTTATATTTGGGAATTGTGCCCTTGGATTGGAAAATTGCAAATGCCACTCGATTAGTTAAGGGAGGGAGAAATCAGTTAACTGCAGACCTGTCAGTTTAAGTCCTGTAGCTCAGTGGTTAGAGCACTCGCTTTGCAAGTGAGAGACCTGAGTTCAATTCCAGGCAGAGGGCGAAACCTTGGGCAAGTTTCCTTACTCCACACGCCTAATAATAATCCCTCCAAAACTAAAAACAATAATTAAATTGGTCATTTTCAATCTACGACTGTTTGTGGGACATTGCTGTGCGCAATTGGCTGCCGCGTTCGCCCACAAATATACAGTCAATTCACTTTACAGTGTGTGTTCTGTGAAGCGCTTTGGGACGTCCTCCCGACGTGAAAAGCGCTATATCAAATGCAAGGATTATTATTATTATTATTATTATAAGTTGTGGGGAAGTTATTGGAATCTCTCAACAGGGACAGAGTGACTAAGCATTTGGATAAGGATGAGCTAATCAAAGAGCGTCAGCATGGATTTGTGAAGGGTAGATCATGTTGGACGAATCAATTAAAATTTTTTGAGGAGGTCACCAACATGGTGGATAAGAGTGTTTGTATGGATGTCATCTACACAGACTTTCAAAAGGAATTTGATAAGGAAAACTGTTCCTTTAAAAAAAAGGCCTGAAAATATCAACTTAGCTAGCACTTCCAATCTTAAAACACAGCTATAGAAGTTTGTAATTTATTTTATAATCCAACAAAAAAAGGTGCTTAACAACATTTAACAAAAAGTCTGACATTGAGAACACATCTCCAATAAACTATTTGAATATTTGCAATCAATTTAAATGGACATTTGTTTTATGGTTATAGGAGGGCAAGATGTTAAAATGATTCAAAATAAAACATATATATTATAACTGATTTCCAACAGAGCAGCAACAAGAATGGATTTCATGTTTCTTTTTGAACATCAAATGAAGAGTTACAAAATCTTGGGATCCGTAGCAAGATTAAAGAGCGTAAACAAACTAAGTGCACAAAAAATGTTCAGGTCATGGAACTGTCTGTTTCTGCCATAGTTTCTTCCAACATTTTCCAAAACATATAACACGAGACACAATACAAAACCATGACTGGAACAAACAATTCAGCAGGGACAAGATGATCAGCAATGGATTAAAAAGGCCAACATTGAAAAATAGACAACACATTATGCAATGTAGAGTATGCCAAGGTGGCTGAGAAGGTTAAGCACCACAGACTCAGAATACAAATATGTCAGACTAAAATAAGGGAGGGGGAATTAATTAGCTCAGTGAAAACCAACGACACGGACTGGTTGTGCCAAAAGGCCGTTTCATGTTGTACAGTCTATGCAATTTTGTGTAAAAAGCGGAAATGATTGTTCGCCAGTGACATGTGAAAACTGTGAAATACATTTTCAACCAATGCTAGAATCTTACCTTGCAGAGATGGCTCATGTTGAAACCAAATGTTTGTGCATTTCTGGAACCGGCATTCATGAAGTTGCCTACCAGAAGGACGAGTTCTAATATTTTACTGAAGTTTTCACTCTTTTTCACCTCTTCACAAGCAAATGTCACATTCATAATGTCTGGCCTAATGTTACTCAAATACTCTTCAAACTGAAGCTTGAAAAGAATACTGTTGAGTCGTGGCCGTAACAACTTTACGGTGCTCATCTGTAAAACGAAGAAAGCATATTGTTGTTATTTTTATGTCACTGTGTATAAGCAAAGAAACAAGCAAATAGTCATTGCTGGTGAATGTCTGAAGCTTGATAGTTTGTTTATTTCACCTGTATTAATGCAGCATCTGTTTTTCCCACCTCTCAAAAACAGACATACCAAAAAGCATGATCCTGAATAAACAGACCAGGAAGGTTTCAGGTTCAACCTCTGTTCTGCACTGAGTAAATTGATCAATTATGGCATGAGTGGCAAGATTAAATGCCATCGGGGGGTTCCTACTCCTAAATACTATCTGCAAGATTTTTATGAGATACTTATGTGCGTGGCTATCAGTTGAGAGAAGAAATGAACTTAGCTGAGATGTATCCTATTGTTGAAAAGTCCATTGACACCATCTTAGCTCATACATAAAACAAGGCTAATACTCCAACATGAGTGTCCATATGTCTAGCTTTAAAGCAGAAAAAGAAGAGTCCTGTGAAGAAAAGGTTTGGAACCAACTTGTTTTTTTTAAATGAAGAAGTTGTTCAAAAAGAAGTTTGGTTATTAACCCTTAGACTACTAGCTAATCTAGAAAAGCTTCCATCAGTAGGCTGTTTCTGTATGTTTTCAGCTCACAAACCAACATCAAGTAAACTTGCTCATTAAGGGGAGGTTTATTATTGTAATATCAAAATAGCAATATTCTTTGCACAATAATCCTTCAATATCGTGCCTGATTAGGACCTTAAGACGTTTTATATACATCTTAAATCAGGTGATCTTCCTCCAATTATTCTGAAAGTGCATTCAAAAGGTTCTTCAACTGGTGGAGGCAGCATTTAGACCCAAAGCGTAACAACAAGATCACCAAAGCATTCACATAAAGCAGCTCTAAGAATCGCAGGGTCAAAAGAAAATCGAATAGGCAGGAAATTTGAATGTGAATTTTTAACTATTTTAAATGAATAAGTGCATATTTCGTGCAAGTAATCGATTCTCCCTATATTAAAAACATTTATAAACACGTGGGAATATCTCAAAGTTATGCAATAAAATGGCAACGGAACTCTGAAGGCCTCTGCCTTCAAGCGGGTGAGTACAATATTGCAGTACTGAAGTGCTTGTCAACATGATGTCTCAGATAAGATACTAATGCATTGTGAACATATGCAGACTGCTCCAGGTACAGATCAAAATAAAGCCATCTACCCAACAGAATAAAGGCTAGAAAGTTGTCCAAAATGTCGATGTATTGGTGTAAACCTCCTAAAGGGGCAGGATCTCCAGGTGATTTCTCCAATTTATATGTGGGAAAAATCACAATAAAGCAAAAATTTAATTTCATCAAACGTTTCTGAACATGCTTTTTGCCCAATTAATACTGTGTAAGTTGATGCAATTCATCACAAATAAATCAAGCATAAATTGGAGTTGAGGTGTTGAGAAAGTGGTTTTATCAGGACATTGAATCCCTTGCTTGCACTATAAATACAGGTAGTGTGAAGAATTGGTCCCTAATTGAACTGCCAAGACTTTTGCAATGTTACTAAATATTCAATTGCAGTAATAATAATGGTTGCTGTTTGTATTCGAATATGACGGTTCACACAATGTGAACACCTAGGTGGGTGAATTTGTTGATAGCATATAAACTGCTGCCCACACAGCAACCACAGCAACCCCACTATTAGATAGCAAGCAGTGTCATCTAATGTCAAGGAATATCTGAGAAGACCAGATGACTTGCTAACCACAATGGCAGAAACCATTACCCGTGGAAAGTGATCGCCAATCAACTAACAACCGGGTTCCAACTTAATGCTGGGATACAGAGGCATTTGGATAAAGGAAACTTACCTAAGGTTTCACCCCACCCAGGAATTGAGCCTGGATCCTCTCGCTTGCGAGGCGAACACACTAACCACTACGCTGCAGGACTCAGTCACATTACTGACTATTTAACAACATTAAAAAAAAGTATCTCAGTGCTGTCCTCAGCCCTGGACAAAGTGATTGTGAAATCAAGTATAAATTCCTAGTCTAAATCACTCTCCATTGGACCAGCCATGTAAACTAAGTATAGAAAGTTCATAAAATACGACTAACAACCCAGCCTTCATTTGTAAGTGAATGCTGAGGGTAAATTCAGTACATCAGTGAGTGCAACATATTTATCAGACAGCACACATCCTGTAATAGACCTGCAGGTCACATTTCATGCTGAACAGGTTTAATATCCTTATCCTTTCAATCTACAAGAAAATTGACAAGTATAGCCTACCGGTGCATGCAATTGTATAACATATGCAAGCACTGCCAAGAAAAAAAGAATTCAAATTCAACTTATTTTGGAGGTTATTTGGAGGTTTTGAGCCTACTTACCACCACTCCAAATTGCTCTGGTTCACATAAATCATCATATTCATCCTTAAACTGGGATAATGTACTGAGTTCTTTGTGCTCTGGCAAATACCTCACCAGGTTCTGTAAATGCAGGAAAGAAAATATATTTGATGTTAATTCTTCAATCTTACGAACAAAGGCATCCTTTGTGTTAGATAATGACACAATATTGACATCATACAGTGGAAGCAGTCACACATAGTACATTGCAATGTACCTCAGATCTGAAACAAAGTTCTGTGTAAAATGTTCTGCAGCTCCTCAGAGCTGAGTTTACCGAATTAAGTATGTTTTCTGTTGTGCATTTTTAGAATTCTCTATAGAGATATTCAATCTTAATATCTTGTAACAAGAAAAATACTGAATTACTGTATATAGTGCAACTCTGTTTTGAGATTTAATGTTTCAATGAGTTTTATTTTTGTGTTTGTTCATTCACTTATGTTATTGAGCTTTAACGAATGTTAATGTTAAATTGAAAATTACAAAGTCATTTTGTTAAAAAATTACATAGCCTAAGTGCCATTCATTGTACTCAGCGATGATTTAGCAAGCATAATTCCTTAATCAAAGTCTCCAAAGTACTGGATTCCCACCTTCTGTTCTTTGAGGTAATGGGAAAAAAATAATTCAGCTAAATTAGAATGAACCGTTTGGCGGGATTTTAAAAAAGCGTATGTACATAGGGGATCAGAGGAACTCTGGCATAATATTGGAAATAAAGAAAGGTCATTCAATACCACTGCGGGGAAAACAATAACTGTGTATTGCAATATTTGAAAAATAGGGTCTTCAGTGAATAATCCATCTTTCTTTATGAACACAGAAAACAAAATAAATATCTCTATTGCTCTCTGAAATTGCTTTGAAGGTATGTTGGGAAAATCTGTCTACAAATGATTTGAAAATCATTTAAAGAGTTATGAGAAGATATAAAACTGGTGATACTAATTTGATGAACTTACAGTATAAGAGCAATAGGCTTTTATTTGCAGGTTCTTAACACCTCAGTATTGTCGAGCATTCAGCCGGTAGGTAAACAATGACCAACATTTTGTTACCTATGGGGCAACTCTATGGGGCAACATGTTGACATTCAAAAGGTCATACCACTTGTATGCTTGCAATGGACAGCAATCTATGCAAAGATATTGTTTTGATATTGATATTGTTTTGTAAAATCCTTCATACAAGTTAAAAAATGTTTTAAAAAAATGATAAATTGGTCACCGCAATCCACGACTTTGTGGGACACTGCTGTGCACAATTGGCTTCCACATTTCGCCCAAAAATATACAGTGAATTCACGTTGCAGTATATTCTGTGAAGTGCTTTGAGATGTTTCAACGACGTGATAAGGCATTATATCAAATCCAAGGATTATTATTTACTTATAAGCCACAAATACGAAATCACACTGGAAACCATTCCTCAACTGTGTTAGTCACTACCATACAGTTTGGGAATGGGGACTGCAAAGATTTATGGTAGCTTAAATACCAGATTTCATTGTAGTTATTAGATTGTCACAGATCAGAAGCTTCAGAAAGGGAAAACATCTGCAGAAGGGATAAAATCAGCCAGTTAAAACTCTGCAAGTTTAAGGAAAAAAAGAGCATCTGCATATTTGTTTACTTATCTAGCTTGTAGAAATGCAGCAATGCAAGCTGTTGAAATGAAAACAAACTGCAGTTTGTTAACTCAGCTCTCTTGAGGTGAAGAACTCAGGATTTAGCACCAACTGCTCAATTTAGGACTTTACTCTTGACAATTTATATTTTTAAATAAGCATCTATTGTTCAAATTGCTCACATCTCAATCATATAAATATGTTAGTCTACTTTTATGATGTCTCTTATAGTCCGTAAAAAATGTGTTTTTTGTTCCACTATTGTAATACGAAGTATGACTGGAACTGAGAAGGGACTTTGTCAACATTCTACTGATAGAAGCCCTATATTACTTTTGAAGTCTTGAGATCACAGTCATTTTGACAGTTGAGGCTATATAAAGCCAGCATTTTTCTACCAAAAGCAAATAGTTCATTCGTAAGATGTTATGAGGAGCACGAAGGCTCCAATTTCTCATCCTAAAATGCACATGCCAGCAGAGAATTCATAATTTGTTAATCCTAATTAAGTGAAGAAAGGCAAAAACATTTATTGGATTATACTTATTGTTAATAATTTGGTCACTCAATCCATGACTGTTTGTGGGACACTGATGTGCACAATTGGCTGCCGTGTTTCGCCACGTCAATTAACTTTCCAGTATATTATAATAATAATCCTTGCATTTGATATAGCGCTTTTCACGTCGGGAGGACATCCCAAAGCGCTTCACAGAACACACTGTAAAGTGAATTGACTGTATATTTGTGGGCGAACGCGGCAGCCAATTGCGCACAGCAATGTCCCACAACCAGTTGTAGATTGAAAATGACCAATGTATTATTGTTTTTGGTTTTGGAGGGATTATTATTAGGCTCTGTGTGGAGTAAGGAAACTTGCCCAAGCTTTCGCCCTGCCTGGAATTGAACTCAGGTCTCTCGCTTGCAAAGCAAGTACTTTAACCACTGAGCTACAGGACTCTGTGAAGCGCTTTAAGATGTCTTGAAGACATGATAAGGCACTATATTAAAGGCAAGGATTATTATTATTATCAAAGGACTTCTAATTATTGAAATTGAGCATCTCAAGCCACAACCAGTGGATAATTTAAAGAGTCAGGAACCTTTTTATTATTTTATATTGAAGGTGAAATATGCTTTGTAGCAATATGGTTTCTCTCACAATGTGGTAATAATACCAGTCGTTAAATTAGTCTTATGTATGTATCGGAATATGGATTGTACTCATAAGATATTTGTTCAATAGGTACACTCAAAATGTTTCCATTTTTGAATATACCTTTACATTTACTGACTTCAAAATGCAGCTACCATTCATTATCCCAGCTACTCAATTAATCCAGATCCCAAATTATATGTTTCCGTGGAAGTCTAACAGCAAATTACAACTAGTAACATATTTTATTCTACTGTTCAATTGTTAGCCCTATAAAGGCATAATGAATGAATAACATTTTATATCTCTGGGAACTTATGGGATCAGCTATAAGACCATAACAGGTAAAGAAGGCACTCTAAAAATCTAAGCTGTAAGAGAGTGGCTTTAAGCAAGCTTTAGAAAGAAAGACCAGCAATGCATACTTAGATCTAAGTTTTATCATCCTGAAATCGTTTCCTTAAACCTCCAGCTTTTGAATTGCATTGACAAGCTTGCCTTCATGGATGGATGGGCAGACAGATTGTAAGTAGCATTACATGAACTACCATATCTCAAGGACGATTGGATAAAAAAAGGTGTAAAACCAAACTGTAAGGATTCAAGAAAATTGAATGAGAGTAAGGGTCACCAGAAATATTGCATAACAAGACAACTGAAGAGAACCCTCTAAAAAAACAAATTTCTTTGACCATAATTTTGGTCAATATCTTTAATCTCTCTCTTTTCCTGCGTGGTCCTCTATTATTTCCAATAAGATCTTCAAGGTGTTTATTGGAAGTTCCAATTTTCATTGGAAGAAAGATGATTGAGGAAACTTACTGCCGACTTCTAAAATGTTTAAAGGAATTGATGATGCAGATGTAAGGAGGTTATTTAACATGAAATGCAAGCTAGTGGATAGATGCAAGTATAAAATTAGCAAGCCTCAAGCAAAAAGGTAAATTATGTGTTCCTAACTGCCCCTCCTAAACAGGGCCACGAATACGTGAAATAAGACTCCCAGCTAAAGCAGTTAATGCTTCAGTCAATTAAAATCAGGGAGAATGTTTGCTTTAGAAACAGACTGAAGGTTATAAGTGTAAGTACCCACAGAGATGATGTACCACCTTTGTTCATTAATTTAATGCGTAAATGTACCATGTTGTTGAATACATACCAAAAACACAAGTCGGTAGAAATTCCACCTGCGTCTAGATTGATTCTATAATAATAATAATAATACTAATCCTTGCATTTGATATAGTGCTTTTCACGTCGGGAGGACGTCCCAAAGCGCTTCACAGAAGACACTGTAAAGTGAATTGACTGTATATTTGTGGGCGAACGCGGCAGCCAATTGCGCACAGCAATGTCCCACAAACAGTCGTAGATTGAAAATGACCAATTTTAATTATTGTTTTTGGGTTTTTTTTGGAGGGATTATTATTAGGCGTGTGGAGTAAGGAAACTTGCCCAAGGTTTCGCCCTCTGCCTGGAATTGAACTCAGGTCTCTCACTTGCAAAGCGAGTGCTCTAACCACTGAGCTACAGGACTCCACATTAAATCTAGCATTTCAAAGCATACAAAATTTGGTAAATTCTAATCCACGTAGCCTTAAATTCGAAGTGTTTTTTCTGCAAGTTTCTTTTAAGAACTACAGAAAACAAGTGTCAAAGTTATGATTTAATTAAAAAAAGCAATTTCTGGCTGTGCTGAAATTCTACATTAATCGAGTAAATCTAGAATCCAGTCCATATGGTCCCAGGTTCATTCTCTGGTTTGCACTATTAAACAAAGCTGCAAGTCCTGATGTCTTCACACAGTTGTTTCCTATTTGAATACAATTACTGCCACCAGATTTACTATATGTTGTATTTTGAGTAATGACCTTATTTCCACACAATTTTCATATCTGTAAATTCGTGTGAATATCAAGCTCTCCAGTGCACCAATGTTGTATTTTTGCAACAGGAGAGCACATGAACCATCAAGATTGTAAAACTTTGAGGGCATATTCAATTCTCATCCTACTCCAAACCAAGGATGTGCAAATGTAGCATAATTAATCACTGTGGTCAGAAATACACATACATGTTAAGCCATATCAATTATCCTGCCCCCTCCACCACACCTCCCAATTATCTGCAGGGAACAGGCAGATGGGCAAAAAAAAGTTAGCATTCACTTTTATCTGCCTCAGCTTATTAACAACCAGTTTTTGTCAACGGGGTAAATATTCCAGTGAGGATACATTAAATGAGTTAAAGTACATAAATAATATTTCCAAAGGTGATTGTTGTGTGTTTGTGTATTGCATGAATGTTATAAAGTTACATGAGGAGGCAGAAAACCCAAGCACAGAAGAAGTCTCCCAAACAATGCATTAAAGTTTCTCCTCCTGTCCATTTTGATGCCAGCTCCTCCACACGTCTTGACAGGACAAAAAGATTGATATTGAAGACTTTGACGTGTCAATCCAAGTTGGAGCAATAGAACAAATCTATTCCCAATGCTGCCCTATTTTGTGTCTTTGTGAGATCAAACATTTTGTTCGAAGCCACCCTCTTACAGACAAGGAATGCTTTCTTGTGACAATTTAGGTTGCAGTGGAACAAACTTCAATAGTTGGCATTGATAGATGGAAAGAAAGGCATTCATTACATCTGTACAGACTGAATGGCTTTCTTACTCGCTCACACACTCCTCAGCCATGGTCTACTGCTCCGAATCATTTTCTGCCTCCATTGAAACGGAGGAACCAACATTTTGCTGGGGTAATGCCAAAGTTGTCAGCTTCTTCTCACTACCAAAGTTGGATACAGACATTGTTCCTCCTTTGCAATCAGCACAGGTAGCACAAACTCCAGAATTTAAGCAACAGATAGGAGACAAACAGAAATCCTCTTTACATCCTTTTCTAACTTGGCCACCATTTGCATGAATCATGGTAGTACTGAGATTTTTATTTCATGCCTCCAACTCGTTTAACATTTGCAGAACATATAAAAGAATCTCAAGACAGTCAAAGAAGGGTAACTTGATATTTTAATACTTCAGCAAACAGCTTTGACTATGATTTGTTTCTGAATGGCTTCAGTATACAACTGTGAGAGGTAGTGCCTCAAGGATCCCAATTTATATCGATTTTTATTAATCCTGAACAAGAGACTGTTTTTCTTACTAATTGGTCAATTTTACAGAAGTTTGTATATTCAGTCATACCAGTTCATATAAGTTTCGAGTAGAGGAGCTAAACATTATACCTAAGGATGTTATCAGTAGAATGACCTTCACCATTGGAAATTACTGAAGTGCTGAAGAAAAAAAGATTTAATTTCCCTAATCCTCACCCAAAACTTGCATCTGATATTATACCTGTCACATTAGAGGATGTCTCAAAGCGCTTCATAGGATTTACTGTAAAGTGCAGCAAATGTGTATTTTATGGCAGCTAACATGGACACAGAAACGTCCCACAAACAGCCATGAAGTGAATAACACATTTTATCTGGGGACTATTGGCCAGGAAACCATGTAAAATCTTTTCAATTAGTGCAATGAGATCATTAACGTCCACCTGAAAAGGCAGAAGGGACCTCAGTTTAATCTCTCATTTGATGGATGGCACTGAAGTACTCCCACTAAAATAATATCGCAAGGAGTGCTGAACAATGTCACTACCTTCTATTCCGTGTGAGAATGGAGAGTTCGTTTGTTAGTGTCTTTCAACAGTAAAAATGACAAAGAGCTTTGTGCATTTCCCTGAAACATGGTTAGATATTTAGCTCAACTCAAAGCTGTGCATGAAAAACACAGAATAAATAATTAAATCTACTGTGCATTTAGTCCTTAAAACAGATCACTAACAAAATCTACAAAAATCATTTAAACCTTCTGCGAAGAATTAGATTGGGTTAGAGAACACAGAAACCTTCAAGTGAGCATGTACAATTTCTGGTGTAGCCTTTGCAAGCTTTTACACCGATCTTCATTGTGTCACAATGAATAATCATCACATACTATGAAATGCACTTGCAAAATCAAATAGATACAAAACAATCTTTACAGTAAAGGGTATTATTTGAACTTTTTAATGTCAGTGCTGTAACGTTACCTGGATTATAGACTCACTGAGCTTCTTTTCATCCACTTCCAGAATTACATTTTTGATTTCTTCATACGACATGCGATATGAACCCAGGAAGATTGCTAAACAAACAAAGATATACCTTAGCCTCAAACGCAGGATTGCATTTTGAACTTACAAGGCAATATTGATAAAGTTAAGCAATTTTTGAAAAAATGTATAAATTAGCACAATCAATCATTTTATTAAAACAGTAACACTTTCATTTAACAACATTTCGAATTATCTAGCAGATAAACTACCTTGTGCACTTACACAAATTTTGAGCTGTTTTAGCATCCAAAATCTTCAGTTCTTTCACTTTTTTCTTGGCAGTGGAAGGTTTTTTCTCCTCATTTTGCACTTCATCTTTATTTACTATAATTTAAAGAATATTTATGCTCAGCATGATACACATATGTAGATTACTGCACAAATACCTGCTTTGAGAGCCAACAAAGATCATTTCAACCCTAAAAGAGAAATTTGCTCGAGAACATGTGAATTGGGTCTACTGCATCTTTTTCGGTGATTTGCTGACCCGGGACAGAGTTCATCATCTAGATAGATTTAATATATGGAAGTTGATCATGAAGAAAGTTGATATATTTTCTAAGATCTCTGTAATTCACATAGCAACTATAATAATGTGAAGCCCTATGATCAGGATAAACGTAAAACCACAAACTATCCACAAAAATAGACGGATAGTATCTTCCAAAACCATTGCACGACAGGGATCCAAAAGGTGAGAATAAATAGCTATTCAACAACTTTTTTTCTCATTTCATATTCATTAAAAACAGATTGACATATAAAGATATGAAGGCAGTTAAAGAAAATCTATCAAATAGTCTTTTTCTCTGCTGATTTGTTCTCTGATTCAAGAAAAGGTAATACACATGTTAAAAGCTTCCAATTCAATGAATTCACATGCACAAATTATGCATCTCATTATTTTTTGAACAGTTCCATTTACAGATAAGACACCCATTCAAAGGAAAATGACAGTCTCTACTAATTTTAAACTTAAGGATTCAACATCCACCACCTTGCACTAATTTGAGCATCAAACTTGATCATATGCATGTCTTCCCGTCTTGGATATGAGGTAACCTGCAATTTTGCTGAAAATGAAAGACCCATTTTAAAAACGTAGATCCTAAGTAAGCATATCAAAATGAAAATATTTTATTCCCGCAATTTCCTTCTCTTTTAAAATAAACTAATTTAAGTCCCATCCTTTTCAACCCCAAAGGAAAAACCATAAGAATGCATAAAGCCGGTAACTTAATCAAATACAAGTGTAAACTTTAATAAACCCAATTTAGTTAGGATCAAATTGATCTGAATAGTCATATCCAATTGCAAATTGGACTTTAGAAATTCAAGAAAAATGCTGTAATGGTGGCAATAGTCAAATACCAATGTTTATATTGAGATTCCAGCCGACTCAGTACATAGTTGACACAGACAGACAATTGGTAATTATTATTGACTATCTTGATAGTGTAAAAAAGTGCTGTTTAAATATGCATTTGAAATTTTGTTTGAAATTGTCAATGACAGTTTCAATGAGGACAATGACAGTGGCTTGAAATGATTGTATTTAAGCACTTAATTGTTATTTCCAAGAATAAGAAAGAACAAAGGAAGCAAGAATTTTGTCTGCTTTTTCATCTGCATCTTGGTCCTAAAATATGTAGATTGCACAAGGTGTGCCTAACTACCCCCTCAGAAAGATTAAACAATTGAGAAACACCTGGTCCCAAAGCCTTTGAAATAAGGTAATAAAATGAATTATTTATGCTTCTGGATAGCAGAATTACTGTAGTACGTGTCTAGAGCAACCATTCTTCATGCAATAATCTTGAAAAGGAGTGAGTGTTCAAAACTTATTCAACAATGGACATATTCTCGACAAGCTCAACATGATCCTCTCCTGTTTTCCAGCTAGGGTTACTGGAAAAAAATAAATCCGGCTGATTTTTCATCACCCCTGCCCATAAGCATTAAAGCTGAAGACATTTATTTGTGTAATTAGGATAAGGTCCACACATTTTAACTTGAGGGATAGCATGAAAACTCCCAACATGAATTTAAGCATAGATGTCTTGTACGAAAATTGTTTAGATCCGCATCATGGATTCCAAACGAGATTTGTTAATCTGCATATTTTGTTCAAAAATGAAAGTTAAAGTAGAACATAAAACTGTAGGTATACCACAGTGAAAGTTGCTGCTCTTGTAAAATAATCTAATTCAAATTCCCAATCATTTTCAGTTTGCAAGAAAACCAGAGAGGATGCATCAAACTGGTAACCTTAACAACTTTGAGCACAGAATGGTGTAATATAATAATCCTTGCATTTGATATCGCGCATTTCACGTCTTATCGACATCTCAAAGCGCTTCACAGAATAGACTGTAAAGTATATCTGTGGGCGAAACACGGCAGCCAATTGCACACAGCAGTGTCCCACAAACAGTCATGGATTGAAGTGTGGATCAAATAAAAGTGTAAACTGTAATTCAGACTAAACAACAAAAACAACTTGCATTTATATAGCACCCCTCACGCAGGTTAGAGTGCCAGAGCGAACCCAGAGACGCAATTCAGTTTGAGCCAAATGGAGTCATGATTGTGTGAAACGCAATATACAAATATACTTTTATAGTTGTTGTAAATTGCACTTTGCAAACTCAAATGATATGCAGCAAAGATGGTTATGCAATCTACTGCTAGAGCTCACATGGACATCAAATTTGAAATCCTTGTTTATCCAGATGGTAGCACATGGATTGCCAGACAGTTTATATTATTACTGATCATCTGTAAAGTAGAATGAATGTGGTCTAAAATTTTGCTTCAAAAGGACAATCTGTAATGGGATACAACATGGCAACAGTTTCTTATAATGACTCAGAATCACGAATGGGATTTTCTTCTGGGAATCAGAAATAGATCACTTCGATCTGAAATTGGAGTGAAGTTCTTGCAGGTCTGCATATTGTCCTTAACGGAAGAAGAACTATTTGTAGTTAGCAGCATTAGAATTTCTCAGCTTTTAGATCCCATTAACTACAAATTATGTCAGGTTTATTATTTACGAGAATAAGGAGGAACAAAGAATGCAAAACTTTTATCACCCAAGACACCTTGTCAGAGGCTTGCTACTTACAAAATGCAGATGATGAAAACTGCACAAGGTACGCCTGCTAACTACACCCACAGAATGACTAAATCAATAATTGAGACACTTAAGCCCTGAAGCTGAGAATCGGACAAAAATAAGGCAATAATGTATGATTAATTTTATAAAATTAAAAATGTGTTTCTCTTTTAATAGTTTACAAATTCTTTCTGCCAATATTTTTCCTCCCTCTTCTGAAGATGCTGATACTTCTAAAGGCAGCTCAATGCAGTCAGCCCTCCATTATCTTACCTATGCATCAGCAGCAAAAATTACATTTGTATAGCGCTTTTCATGTCAGGAGGATGTCCCAAGGCGCTGGACAGTCAGGGATCCGCACCAAGATATGCATACATCGTGGTGCAGAGACTTTGTGTGTGATCCCAGACAACGCTCACGCTTTAGATCAACACTTAGCCAACACTTTAGATCTTCTGCTTGCCATTCTAATTAAATTACATGTAATTAATTAAGATGCTGCAGACCTTGATAGGGATTATCAATTTCTGTGTAATGTTTGAAAATTAACATTATGAGAGTAGTAACAGTCAGTTGATGTTTACACTTTAAAACTGAATGCATTTATTGTTACCAGTTGATTTGCATGGCACATTTGATAGATCGTCATAGTTTGCATGGCGATATATCAAATATGAATAATTCTCGCTTCTGAATTCTCTCCGGGCTCTCATCGATTCTTTCGCCCATAAATATATGGTCAATTCACTTTACAGTATATTCTGTGAAGCGCTTTGAGGCATCTAGAAGATGTGAAAAGCGCTATATCAAATGCAAAGACTATTATTATTATTACCCCAGTTTTACTCTACTATTCTACTAATATTCTATTAAGTGACTGCATGCAGTGTCCCTCTGTATTGTCAGTCACACTGCACACAACAGATCTTCACCCTTCAGTCTTATTGAGCACTTGCTTTCTTGTCTTGCCTCCACCACTCAAGTCCCACTGTATAGTCAGTCTTCCATGCACGTTATTCTTTTAAATTATTTTCCTGATCACAGCAGTCTCAGTACATTATTTCCTCCTCATGAGAGCTAATTGTGCACGAGTACATATTACAATTCAATGAACTTTTTTTTTAAAATGGAGTAACAAGAACAAGCAAACTGGTCTTATGGCGAAACACAAGGTATACAGAGCACCAAATCAGAGCAATATGAAATAGGCTGTCACACACATTTTCAGATACAATGCAGAGACATATATGCCCATACGGAGAAGAGGAAATTTGAGAGAGAATCAACCTACACCTCCCACAACATGGAGCAAGTTGGCTGTCAACTACCTTCTCAGGTAATGAATGGTTTAAAATGTCACAAAGTGTGGAAAGAACTATTAAAAGAAAGCTTCTGCCATTGATTACTTTCGTAAGAATGTGACACAGATGTGAGACAAAATTGTTTTTAATGCTAATATACTTCGATCGATAAATTTTCACCTACAAAAAAGTCCCTGCATTTCACAGAAATTTAGTCAAGTGCTTTGAGATGTTTTGACATGATCGACACTAAATAAAATGCAAGGATTATTTGTCACTGAGAAATATTACTGCTTGCTAAAGTGCCAAAAAAAATCAGCGATTACATGCAGTTTCCTTAAAAAATTCAAGTTTGTTAAATGGAAAGCAAACTGGTTTTAAAATACAAACACCAACAAAAACTGGTGTCCAATCAACAGCACAATGGGTAAAGATCAGGAAGGTTACAGGTTTGATGCCAATTTGTGCGAAATTATCTAATCCAATCCAGGTCAGCAATCAAGATGCTGTAATTGGCCTCAACATGCTGTTTGGGACAGGAGGCAAGAATGTTCCTAATCATAATTGCTATCTCACAACCTCTGGGAAAGTGCACACATGTTAATGTCAGATGGGACTCAAATCAATCTGGCTGGAACCCCTTCTACTGAATAGTTTACCAATGTTCATTGTGCTCATATGAAAAATGATCAAACCAAAGTGCTGTTGATGCTATGAAGTTGAAGTTGTTACAGCATCTATATTAAAGCATTCCATGGAGATTTTTTTGTAAAGTATCATATATTATATGTGTAGATGCATAGAGAGAAGGGGATGGCAATTGGAGTGAGGAGGAGAGAATGGGGAGGTTATTTAATTCTGTTAATATTTGTCAATGGTGACTGTACTGGTTGTAAAGGTGACAA